TACGGTGGATAAAAGGTTGTTGTTTGAGTAACTTGATGCTCTCGTGAACGCTCAGTTCCACATGTCAGTCCCACATGTGAGTTCCAAAGTCATTACGACTGTCAGTGGCCTTGAGGGCCCTCTCAAGGTGTCTTCTCGTTTGCACGTTACTTATCACGCTTCTATTCCAGCGATCATACCATATCCACATCTATCGTCGTGCAGTCGTGTAGCATACCTAGATACCCAGACCCATGAACTTTAAGTCGTTGGTTCCATTGGGGTGCTGCAGACTTTTGACATATTTGCCATGAGTCACTGCAACTTGGTTCAGTTTATTCTACACTTTGAAATCTGTAAGGTGGCTGAAGGGGTTCTATGCGATGTACAGGCTTTTACACGAGGGCTAATCAGACTTGATGAAGTGCGCTACATGGCACTAGGAGACTCACTAAGTACAAGAGAGATGATCATTGGACGTCACACTTGGTAAAGCACAAAAGTGGGTAGGAGAATGGCAATGATAGCTCCGTTAATGTTATGAGTGGTACTACTGCAGATGAAGGGAACTGTAGGCCGAAAAGATATTCTCCTCCACTCATGACATGCCAAATTGCCCAACTCGAAAAAGAGAGAATCTACCAAAGAGCGCCAAAGCTCTTTCCCAAGCAAATCAAAGTTCCAAACCAAGGGTCGCAAAACCTCCACCAAGCCATGATTGCTGAGCGTCGCCACGGCGTTCTGCGACTCCTCTCAAGTCGTCTCGGTGCTGCTGGCGGCGGCGGACAGCTTGCTGGTGACTTGCTCCCAGTCGTCCTTGAGCGACTGTAGCTCAATCGCGATGTCGACCTTCTTTGCCTCCGGCAAGGCGTCCAACTCGGCAATGGAATCCTTGACGAGGAAGAGCTTATTGCGGATCAAGCCCTTCTCGCACTCGGTGAAGACGGCATTGGCGGGGCCGCCTGAACGCTCGAAGATCTCTTCTCCGAGCTTGGCGAGATCCTCATAGTGCTCCCGTGCACGACGGACGACGACGAAGTGGCGGCGGGAGGGCACGCCGAGCGCGGAGGGGACGAGGATCGTGGGGACGCTGCCGGCGATGTCATCGTTGTTGGTGGTGTTCTTGTCCGACATTGCTGTCGAAGGTGGCGGTCTTTGGTGGGTGCGGTAGGTGATGTGGTTGTGAAGAGGCTTGTTTGTAGTGACTTTGAAGTGCTCGGAGTAAAGAGCAGAGTTGAAGGGGTAGTTGACTGGAGAGAAAGGGCCTTGCTAGAGGTGAGGAAGTGAATCTATACAGTCGCGCCTTTGCGTGGTTGGCGCTAGGCTGTTCGTCCGCCTTCCAGCACGCAGTCACCACGAGATTCTCGTGATGCAGCGGAGGAGCTGCAGGGGTTAGCGCTCCTTCACAGTCGTTTGCGTTTCCGACAGACCTCTGTACGGGAAAATCACCGTGAAACAGAACTTCAAATATACAGCATCCGCACCACTGCTGATGTACAGTATATTGTGATAGAATGGAGTCACATATCCCTTTTGTAGGGCGACCTATCATCAAACTGCAGTCAGCGGGTTTGCCAATCGCAAAGAGTGCGTGCGGCTGACACACTGCCCGATGGACACCGAGTAGCAATCTGTTTGGCATTGACCATCTGTTTCTTCAGTTCAATGCCAAGCTGAGCTGGGACTAGCCAGCTATGCTAGGAGAGAGATCCGACGTTACCATGGCTTTAAGAAGCAGTTTCAAGATGACTGTGCACCGGAGTGATCGTGAAATTGTGAACGTCATGGAGTGGGGCGAGGAGTGCCGCCTCTCCAAGCGCCTGCGTAAAGTGTATCTTTCACTCTGGTCTAGTCTGGAGCCTCCAAGATCATACGCTCTGACCTTCAGAGGCGCTCACCATTCCATGAATTTCTTAACCACTGCGCTCCACTACCACAGCAATTCTCCAAGTGCACTTGCCCGGCAGCAGTGACAACCTGCCCATCCGCGTTCTCGTTGGATACCAACAGCTTCTCGGGCAATCAACCCGAAGTACATCCCTCAGGTCGCCCGATGCGGGCGATGAAACCAGCGAAGCAGCCCAGGAGGTAATCATGGCCCGGACCAAGTAAACTGTATATCGCTAAAGCTGACGGAACACGCAGGGCTTGTTGGCCGTTACCCAACTTATGTGCTTGGGCACGTATAAAACTTGTGCTTGTACACATATACACAATCAGCTGTATGTTCTGAACTTGTTCTATGTTCGTGCCAGACTCTAATATACCCAGGTCCCGTGTGCGGTCAGTGAGGGAAGATGGCTTTGGTGCTTGGACACGTATACAATCATCAGTATGTCTATCATTTCTCTCTACGCCGGGCGAAAATTCCGACACACTCAAGCCGCGTGTGTGGTGGGAAGACTTGGCCGGCGTTGTGCTTGGACACGTATACAATTCGAGGCTGTATGTCTGGGTGCGAAAAGAGGAAAGATGGCGGACAATAAGTCTCAGGCCTGTAGGCATTTTCTGGCAGTGGAGAAGGAACGTTGAATTTTCAGGGAAGAGGAGAACAAATTCCTTCCGTCGTGTCAAGAAAGCCGTTTTCGTTCATTCGTTCACGTCTTCCATGCCCGCTCGTACTCCTCCAGGACGAGGATGTAGTCTCCCTCCCACTCTATTCCCGCCCACGGGTCTTCTTCTTCGTCTTCTTCATCGTCATCGTCATCGCCTCCCTCAATTCTCTCCAAAACAATCTGGTCGACGTCTTCTGGCTGGTCCACCGCCGGGCTAACGACGGCTTCACCAGCCAGAAACGATACAAGATGTGCCGTCGGATCCAGCGCGCTGCTCGCAGCCAGATGCCTTCTCGGCCCTCAAGCCGGGAAAGGCTTGCTTGCTACACGCTGTCAGTGACGAATCAGTTCTGGCGGCTGATGACCACTTACACGTGCCCTCTGCACCCTCTTCGCCGCCGGCCTCGGCCTCTCCCCCTCTCCCCCACTAGGCATTGGTAATTTAACATCTTCTTGGAGAGGATGCGATGGTATTTGGTGGCGCTGGTGGTGCCGTGAAGCCTTGGTAGAACTTTGGGCAGGGATTATTCGTCGTGAGTTTGCCAAAGAGCAAAAGTGAAGCCAGACTGGAGCATCTACATCTTTGCTCTCCAGCCCGCGCTAACACGCGAGCAGAAAGGCCTCATCCCGCGAGGTGATGGTGAATGAGCATGTGAACAACATCAGCTGGGACAGTAGCCTGTTTGCTGCCATTGGCTATTCCATACAGATTTGACGCAATGCTCGGATTAGCGGTATGATTCCTTTCTCTGTCGCAGGATTTCACCAATTTCTGGAAGATTCCCGTCAGAGTCTCCCGCGTTTGCACCACTCACTCGACTGTCTCAACCGAACCTAGCGCGTATATCCATACTCAGCGCCTTTATAAAGCCATTCTCCGGCCAACTTTCTCCCCCCTCCCACGAAATTCTCCCCCCACCTCGAACTCCCGACTGCCTCTTCTCGCAGCAAGATGTCGTCTCCATCAACGCCAAAAGCATCGCCCGCGAAGCCCGCTTCACCGTCTCCGCCATCTTGGCCTGGGACTCCTCGTCCCACCCGCACATTCTCTCGCGCCCCGCCAGTGGATCTCGGTGACCGCCTCGCCAACGCCCGCAACTTGCGTCCAGATGACGCTCCGCCTCCTCCTCCTCCTCTGCAAGGTACATTCCCAGCTTTCGGCGGCGGTACCATGATGCAACCGCCGGTACACTCCGCCTTTGGGCCAGCCTTGGACCACAAGTTTGGTCCAAAGTACGGTGGTGTACCGGGCAGCAACATCAGCCCATACGACACTGGCGGCAAGACTCCTGGCAACAAGCACCTCCCCGCGAGCACCATGACGGAGACCGATTTCGAGCGCAAGTATGGCAGCTTTGCTCGCCGCGGTACTGATGCGCAGGGTGGGCGCACCATCATCTCGCCTGGTGGTGTCACGACCCCAGTGACGACCGAGATCGAAGCCATGGGCATCCTCGAATCGCTCGAGATGGCGCGACTCGAGCACGAGAAGAAGGTCGGCCCTCTGCCAGTTCCCTCAGACGTAAGTTTCAGGACCCTCATTTGTACACCACAGCATCTCACTGACATCGCTCAGGCCAAAGACCGCCTCGTCCTTCTCGGTCCCTTCCGCCTCATCAAGCAGGCCTGTACGTCGAAGGCCGACACCAAGGGGTACGCGGAGATGTCAGCCTGGCTCGATGCGCATATGCATGAAGAGCTACACAAGCTTGTCGTCTCCGACGAAGTCCTCCCCGAAGTCGTTTACGCCGTGCACATCCCCATGACGGACACCGACTGGAAGTTCTACAACGACGTCCTTGCGATGTGCTTTCCGGAGGCGCTTGAGCTGCACAATGCGCTCGCGACTGGCTACGATGCTATGGACCAATTCACGGATAGCCACGAGTTCGCCAAGGCTGGCTTCCCCGACGAGCAGTCCGAGCTCACCAAGGACGCCCTCACCATGCCCGACAAGACGAAGGAAGAGATGTTGGCCGTCATGGTCAAGCGACATCGGCTGAGTCTCCCTTGGGACTACGGTCGTCCGGTCCAGTTCCGCCCTGACCTAGTGCCGGAAGAGCTTGGTGGCAAGCTGAAGGGCTACCAGGAGTAGGATAATGCACCATGGAGGTCGTCGGTGTGGTCTGGATGAGACATTTGGTCTCAGTGATAAGTGCTTCACGTCGCATGATCAGAGCTGTAGTTAGTTCTTTACACAATGTAAAAGCCCCGAAACCCATAGACTGTGCTCTCAATGCCGTGATAATACGCTGAGGATCACCATGATGACACATGACGTGGCAAACATGCCCCTCTTATACGACTTATACTGCCTCGGTGATGCGCGATTTCAGGTTCATAGACCTTTCGTGGTACTCTACTCACTTTAGGCTCGATTTGAACTCATGTATGTGCGCGGCTTTCGCATTGCTGATGCTGTATATAAGCAAGATCGGGATAAGGACCCTCATTAAAACAATTAAAGGGTCGATGGTGTAGTGGTATCACGCTTCAGTCCGACTGTTAGAGTCCCGAGTTCGATTCTCGGTCTTCCTCAAATCCGCTGCGTGACACATGAGGGCTCGTGTCACATGTGTCACGCAGTGGACATCTTTTTGCTCTTGCCGGCGTCATACACAATGAATGAACAGTATCTCACATATGAGAATCGTGGTAAGCAGACAGTTGTAAAAGACTCTAGAGAATGAGTCCAAGCTTTGTCTCCGGAGCCATGGTCTTTTTGGTCTTGCTCAAGACATTTGCACCCCACCGACACGGCCGCACGGGGCATTTTGTCGACCGAGCTATCGGTGCCTTGGCTTCATCATGAAGTCTTTCCTCGAAGGCTGTCCGTAGCTCCGCGGAGATCCATGGCTGCGCTCAGTATCTTGTAATGCCCGAAGCTCTCATTGGCTTGTTCAATGCGTGATCACAGGTTAGATCATTTCACAGTCACCGTTACTTCGGGACTTGCCGAGCACAATAACGGGCTTCAGCAGGACCCTGAAGCTGACGAAGCGAGCCTCGTCGCTGGCCATAAATACTGCACTCCTCTCACTTGCCCACCCTCTTTCTCTTTCTCCTCATAACCTTGTTCAACCTCAGTGTCATGCAGCGGATAGCCGGCGTCCACCGTGGCGGCAGGTGTTGTCAAAGAACAACACCGGTAAGTCTCACTTATTCCCTCATATACTCAACACACAGCTGAATTGATGCAGTCGCTCACGGTGGCGCCGATCAATAGCCGGCCATCGGTCTTCTCATCTCTCAGAAGGTCCGGTGCGCGCTGGCAAGCGCACCATGCGCTCTGGGATCTTCGTGTGCAGCTAACTGCGGCGGTAAGTTTTGCCAGTCATGAGATCGCAATCAGAGCGCCACTGATAGTGTGTACAGGCAGTCTTCCGCGCCCATCAAACACGACCTGCCTTGTGACGGGCTATGGAAGGAACTGTCACGCTTGCCCGTGGCCTTCGTGGTCTCATCCGCAAGAGCCAATCGCAGAGCGGCATCGACGCCGGTCAAGATCCCGATCTTGAACCTCTTACGGTCCAGCACCAGATGAAGCTCGTAAGACTCATCTACAACTTGTGCCCAATTGAGATTACTGACGGCTGGGCAGCATGACTGCTCCTATAGAGCATTGCCTGCTTACAACCGTGGCGTATACATCCGCTACGACGACCTTCTTGACGCTGTTGAGGGTAAGAAGAAGCTTGAGCGCATCGGCCAGTCATCTGTATTTGATGAGACATCTTGGTCAAATGTACTTCCCCTCGCTTAACAACGCTGAGCTCTGCTGACATAGTGACAGGACAACACGATGGATAAGTCATGTTCCCATTAGAAAGTATCCTGTTGGAGTGAAGGATCTCATGGAGGGCATTCGGTTAGAGCTCATGTGGTGGAGATGTATGGAAGTCAATCTGGAACCCCCAGACAAGACATGGCGGCAGTGAAGCGCACTGAGGTCTCAACCCGACATTATGAATAGACAACTGGTACAGCCCCAACTCTCCACCTGCCTTAAAGCTGTGATTGAAATGGCCATGCTTCCTCTTTCTATGTGTGCCGGCTGGTCTGAATGGCCTGGTCACACTCCAAGACACCTACCTCACCGTGCCAAGCACCAGGCTCGGTGGCGTAGCTTGGTGTTCTTGCAAGCATTATGGAAAGAAGTATTCGCTTCTGGACGTTGTAAATAATGAAGAATAGCGTCCACGTCCATTCGCATATTTGTGGGTAGGCAAATGAACGGCTGGTGGCCAGCTCAGACGTAATATCAACAGTATGCTAGCGCTTCGGGCATAATCGCCTAGCAAGGTTATGTTGTCTCCAATAGTCTATCTCAGCCATAGCTTATGAGATTTGAGCAATTGATAGCGTCGAGTCCTCGTTGAATGTGATGTTGCTGTGGGAATTCGATGTTGAGATAGCTCACGCATACATCTGCTCTTTTTGCTAGAACCAATTGTGGCAGCGGTGGTATCGCTCAGGCTTGAAGACTCCGCATCCTCGAGCTTGGAGCGTCGTTAAGATTCAAAAATGCCATAAGTGCTGCTGCGGCTGCTGGATGGTCTCTGGGAAGAACAGCCCCTTTGACTAAAGCAAAGATGGCGCTCCCGCTGATTGCCTGATCGTCGCTCGTGGTCATACCCATTTGCCTTCCCAATACACAGTGGACAGTGGCTAGGGCCGCCGTGGGCACTCACAATGCCCGCATAATAGCACGAGCATGGCGACCCGCTCTGCAAAAACGCGACGGCCAGCCGGAGATTGCAACTACGATGTTCTCATGAAGATGCCACTCATTGTATAGTCGCGCTCAAAGCGAGCCGAAATGCAATCATAGTGATGTTCCTCACCCCCGAGTCCGCCGCACTTTGGTGTGCTCAGACTCGACCATCACCAGATACCGCCAACTCAACTTCTCAACCACAACACGATCACGAACTTCGCCACCATCCCCAAAACAGCATACGGCTGCAACCCCTCGCATACGTCCTCCCTCGTCGAACCGCCGCATACATGGTAATACGTAAAGCGGGAAGGAGGTCAGCAAGTGGCTGGATCAGAATAACACAACTTGGGGATGGGAAAGCCGGCGGAGGACTCGTCTTCGGACTCGAGTGGCTTATTGACATATTGCGGAGGAGGAAAAGATGGCAGAGGCTTTGCAGGCGGCAAGGAGGTCAGTGTCGCAAGATGCTGGATCAGAATACTTCGGTTATTGGAGGAACTTGATGCCGAACACTTCGCCCTCTTCGATGCCGCCGAGCGGACCGCCGCATTCCTAGCCACCGGGCGACCCCTCTATACTGTTTCGAGAAGTAGTTACGGCTGACATGTTAACGGCGGCTCAAGGATCGCACATGGATGTCCTCGAGCATGGGCGGGGCCGGGTAAAGAAAGCCGCATCCTAACACCAGGTCTGACTGACCGCTTCTGTAAGACCACTGACAACAGTTGCCTTATCGCAGGGTGATGATTGACCATCTCGATGATTTTCTCAGGTCAGTGCGCAGACTCGACTTTCAGACCTTTGAGAGCAACGGCAAATACTCCTCTTGTACGTCGACTATCACATCGTCTAGGACACCACGTTCACCGCCAGACATACAATCGCGATCACACACCACGTCCGATGACCGCGAGGAGGAACTCTTTTCTCTCACCATGGCGACCGCGAACATACCCTTTGCGGTTGCAAGTCAAGAACCGGGCGCGGCAAGATGCTCAACAATCGTAAGTCATGGCGAAGCTTGCGGGAATCGTCAAGCACAATACAACCGCGAGAATTATGCAGCGAAGGAACGCGAAGCCTTCTCGCGGCATTCTGGACACCTCAAGAGCCCAAGCAGCATCGCCTTGTCCTGTGGCCATCACGGTCTGCGACGAGAAACAGCAGGAGATGATCAAAACCATCTCTGCGGTCAAGCATTCGAGTCTTCCGGAAGAAGGACCGGCGCGACAACTATTCCTTCCGAAGTCTGCGGGAGCAGGTTCATGACCTCAAGCCCTGGCATTCGAAGGCTTCGAAGACTTCAAGACACTACGGACGGTTGCCACACGCCGCCACTGGCCACACGACTGAGTACACCGGCCGAGAGCAGCAGTTCGATTCTTGACTGACTTGGAGGAAGCCGAGCGAAACGGCTAACCATAGGAGCACAACGCCAGGTACTCTGCCAATCCATCGGAGTAGATGCGACCACATCGCAGGATCATTCGCTCAAGGAGTACTGGTCTGGGCCCAAGCGAGGATTTGAAGCGTAGCGGGAGGAACATGAGTTGAGAGCCCCCCAAAGAGAGTCATTTTCGAAGAGATGTTCCGTGCTCATCGAGCAAGCAGACATTTGGCCACCACTTCGCAACTGCGGCAGCGTTACTCGATGTCCGCACAATCCTTTCCAGACCTGACACCGCGAGTACGCTCCATTGATGACGAATTGCCATGGCGACAAAGTAGCAACTGACAACCGACGACTCAGATTCACCACAGTGTCGTACTCTGAAGACCACGATCCTACCGGGCGCACCGACCGCGTACGAACCCCGAAGAAATGTACGCTACGGGAACGATGGCTGTGGTTGGTGACATAGGTCTGGTCAAAACAATCTGAGAGGGTCATGGAACGTCTCCCTGGAGGCCGCAGACAGCATCGAACGGAAGGGTCGTATGAATCCTGGCCGTCACCACAGAAGCCAATGCGACGGAATTAAGCCGTCCCGGGATGATGGGCATCGCAACCACCAGATGCCTTCCCCCAGGTGAAGGATACAGTATGCTGTCATGGTCCTGCCCGTTGCCACAGACTTTGCGTACAGCATCGAAGTTGGCAGTCTCTCCGGTGTCACTCCAAAAATCTCCCTTAGTAGGGATCGCGAAATGTCGACTGAGCGCTTGCAGCAGCAGAAGCACCTGCTTCAGGCAGGCTAAAGTGCACCAAATCTTCCACCGGGCGGTCAAGTACGTCCTTGTGCAAGAATTTCTGGTGTGCGCGTGAACAGAACTGACATCCTGGCAGTCGGCCCAACCAGCTCTTGATTCACACCGCCGTCCTCGTCAGGTTTCGCATTGTCGCCCACATGAGAGGTCTGGGACGCCGCAGACAGTAGAGAGTTATGTTATGACACGTTACGGAACAAAGCGTCTCGCCCGCGATGTCAAGAAGCCATGGTGGCTACGTCGGCGGGGCCGCAAATGTAGAGTGCGGTCCGTCGCTTGCGAGACAAGATTGCCGGTGGCACCAAGAATCTTGACAAGAAGAACAAATCATTGAAGGAGGTTGAGATAAAAGGTTCAGACATCCCTTGCCTGCAGCGTCTAGCAAGGGCGCACAAGAGTCAGGGCGCACACCCTTGCACACGGACCAAAGACAAGCCCGGGCATGCCACTGAACGCCATCTTCCTGCACCTAGACGGCATTGTGCATACACATGCAGTCTGTTAGAGAGCTTGTGACGCCTACCTCGATGCGACTGTGCATCAACATCCGATATCGTCTCTGCCCGGGAGCACAGAAGTGACCGGATTATCTACAGTCAGTGTAGGGTAG